GAGAGAGAGAGAGAGAGAGAGAGAGAGAGAGAGAGAGAGAGAGAGACTGAATTGATGCTCTGCGCACTCAGCGCACTCAGCATTTAACCGCATCACTGCCGGAGTCTCTCAACAAAGCCGAAATATCAGTTTATCTACTCATATCAGTCTAATTGGACCGAGATGGAGTTATCACACTGCTACCCTGTACATTTCAAATTACATAAATTAATCATAAACTAGTACATTGATAATAGGCTACAAAATATAAGTTCATGACTAAATATTGTGACAGTGCAAAGGTACTGTGTCACTGAATGATGTTAATGATAGCGAGTTAACTCATTCTCCAGAGAAAGTAAAACCTTAAGGGAATTAAAACTTAATATTAAAAATAGATGTTTTCCGATCTATTCAATTAGGTAATACTTACTTAAAGGAAGAGTTATATACACGTCTCAAAACGATATTTCAGCTTACCTGTCTTAAAGGGATAGTTCACCCAAAAATGAAAATTCTGTCATTAATTACTCACCCTCATGTTGCTCCAAACCCGTAAGACCTCCGTTCATCTTCGGAACACAAATTAAGATATCTGTGATGCATTCCGAGAGCTCTATGACCCTCCCATAGACAGCAAGTGTCCTTACACCATCAAGGCCCAGAAACTTAAGCAAGGACATCATGTAAAATAATCCATGTGACATCAGGGGTGCAACCCTAATTTTTTGAAGCTACGAGAATACTTTTTGTGCACAAAGAAAACAGAAATAAGGACTTTATTCAACAATTCTTCTCCTCCCTTTAATACGGCTGTAGAGTCGGTCCATTGACTATTAAATTTTAACCGTCGCCGGTGGGAACCACATTTAACCCAGCTGCTGGTTTGTCATTAAAATAACCTAACAATGTAAAAATGACATAACTTTTTTTTTTTTTTAATCCAGTATAGCAAGTGGTCATGGTAAAAAAAAGAAAACGAAAGAAAGCATTTTACTTATTTATGTATAAAGGTTTGGTCTGCTATGCTGTATTACTAAATAAATAAATAAACTCTTTATTTTAATTATTTTATTTTCTGCATGTATGTTGCTGCAGTTTTCATAATATACTGAAGTATTTGCAATTGAAATGTTTATTTTAGCAGAAATATACAGATACCTTTGAATGGTCATTAATAAAGACGGTCAGATAGATACAGCAGGGTATAGTGATGAGAACCAGCTAAACCTTCAGCCATTTGGGCTTGAAACGCTTGATGGACAAGCTTATAGATTATCTCATAAATCATAAACTGAATCATCTCATTCAGTTGTTTCAGAACGGCTAGTTTAAAACTCACATGCAAACACATCCAGAAACACACCAAAGGTTCTTCTTGACAGGAACATTACATTTACTGACATGTGCAATTAAGATCGGACTCTTTAGACAGTAAATGAAGACAGACGGAAGTATTAATATGCTGTCTGAGGAGTGTGTTGAGTGTCATCGAGTAAATCACACAGAGAATCCACCATCCTCTCCATCAGCACATACACCTGAAACACACACACGTTATGACTAAACATGACAGTATGAATCACGACTGGACGTGTGGATGCGTGATCAAACATCACGAAGGAGTGTGTGAGGGTTTGAATGGCTCTGTGTCATAAGTGTGTCATGACAACACAGTCACCTGCTATAGTCACACAACTATTATATATACATATATTACTGTTCATTACTGTTATATTTCTATTTCAAATAAATGCTGTTCTTTTGAACGTTCTATTCATCAAAGAATCCTGAAAAATAAGTTTTCAGCACTGATAATAATCAGAAATGTTTCTTGAGCAGCAAATCAGTATATTAGAATGATTGTAATGATCACAGAAATAAATTACATTTTAAAATATATTCATATAGAAAACAGCAATTTTAAATTGTAGTAATTTTTCACTGTGTTTACTGTATCTTTGACTATAATGCACATGTACCTGTGTGTGCAGCAGCGCTCTGTATCTGTCCTGTAGTGTGTGTGAGTGATCAGCAGTAAAGCTGGAGTCTGTCTTCCTCTCCTCTGGCACATGTTTCCTCATGCTCCCACCTTCCTACACACACACACACACACACACACGCACGCACGCACACACACACACACACACGCACACAGAGGGCATTAAAAGCACTATCTGTAAGTGTCAGAGCGTAGAGAGTCAGTCTGAGTGTTTATACTGCTGCTGTGTGTGTGTGTGTGTGTGTGTGTGTGATAGAGAGACAGATCAGAGAGAGAGCGAGAGAGAGACAGGTTCACACTGTTAGCGGGTGTGAAAGCGTGCAGCTGTCCTGCGCTGAGAGCGGTTAGCATGCCACCCACAGAGCGTGAGTCAGCGAGAGACGCGCACTAGTGAGTGAGCATCACAGGCGCCGTACAAACCACATGCTTCACTCTCTGAACAACACTGACAGCTCAAAGACTGATACTTGATGGTTATTCGGGTCTTCTGGGTGGTTGTTACACAGTTAATAGGGTTTTGCGAAGACGTTCTTGGTGGTTGCTAGGGTGTTCTGAGTGGTTGCTAGGGCATTCTGTGTTGTTATGCAGTTGCTAAGGACTTCCGGGTGGTTTCTGAGATGTTCTGGGTGGTGCGAGCATATTCAATTCTGAGTGACTAGGTGGTTGTTATGCAATTGATAGGGTTTTTGCTGAGACATTCATGGTTGCGAGGGTATTCTGTGCTGATGCTGCACAGTTGCTTGGGAGATCTGG